TTTGGCCATCGCAGTGGCTCCCTGCATTGGATTTTCCCTGGTGTCTGACTTCAAGCAAGCCGCCATGGTGAAAGGCAAGAAAACATTGATTACGCTGCTCGATGAACTGGAGGAAATGCATCCAAAAAGCCTTAAAAAGCAAAAGGAATACAGAATGTCAGACTTTGAGAAGACCATGAAGCGTGTGATCAATATTTTCACCTTTCTCTGCCTGGCATATACGACTACTTTTTCCTTTTATCCGGCTATTAAGGCCTCTGTGAAATTTAATTTTCTGGGCTACGAGACCTTTGATCGGAATTTTGGTTTCCTCATCTGGTTTCCCTTCGATGCCACGAGCAGTAATTTGGTTTACTGGATTATGTACTGGGATATAGCCCATGGGGCCTATTTAGCGGGTATAGCTTTTCTCTGCGCCGATCTCTTGCTCGTCGTTGTCATCACCCAGATTTGCATGCACTTCAACTATATATCCATGAGATTGGAGGAGCATCCCTGTAAACCGGAGGAGGACAAAGAGAACAAAGAGTTCCTCATTGGTATTATCAGATATCACGACAAGTGCCTCAAGTAAAAGAAATATCTCTCATTTGGATTATAATTATTAATATATTATTCCCTAGACTCTGCGAACATGTCAACGATTTATACAGCTTCTCCCTTCTGCTCAATTTCCTGATGGCTTCTATGCAGATTTGCTTCATCGCCTTTCAGGTCACCGAATCCACTGTAGAGGTCATCATTATTTACTGCATTTTTCTGATGACCTCAATGGTGCAGGTATTTATGGTGTGCTACTATGGAGACTCTTTAATTGCTGCGGTGAGTTTAAAGTAAAATATAAAATATTATTCCTTCCATATCATTATCCTTTTTAGAGCTTGAGAGTGGGAGACGCTGCCTACAATCAGAAGTGGTTTCAGTGCAGCAAAACCTACTGCAGCATGTTAAAGCTGCTGATTATGCGAAGTCAGAAGCCGGCTTCAATAAGGCCGCCCACCTTTCCACCCATATCTTTGGTTACCTATATGAAGGTTTCAAAAACTGAAAATAATTTTAAAATTGTATACTATACCAACTTTTTCACAGGTTATTAGCATGTCGTATCAATTCTTTGCCTTACTAAGAACCACATACAGCGATAATTGATTACTCAAAGCGCCCCTCTCCGCGCTTCTCAAATCGTCCACTTGGTGTGAATCGATTTGTAAAAAGGGATTTTTAACATCTCTCAAATATCTACCCTACACAGCTCTTCCCTGCAATGCAACGCCAATCGCTACATCAGAAGCTTTCGAACTTAATGACTCCCTCGACACGCTTTGATAATATTTAATTAAAAATCGCATTTAAAATTAATAAGCTTAAATGGAGACCAATAGCGCCTGGCCGAGCACAAAAATCCGGCAACAGTAGAGAGGCACACGAGGCAAACAAAATAATAATTTTTTTCAAAAGGAATATTACAGCACAGTCCACAAAAAAGAACGCCAAGAACGGGGACGCAAATAAAAGCAGCAAATGGGGCTCCCCATCCGCCTACGAAAAAAAGACCCCCGTTCTGACCTGGTAATAAAAGGAACAACATAAAACGCAATCACAATCATCGACAATAATCTGGCAGCAACAACCAACAAAAAAATGCTTATTATAAAATTTCACAGTTTTTCAATGAGCAAAAATGAAGCGGAGTGGGTGTAAAAAAAAAAATGGTCGAGAGTGAGGGTGGGTGGAAAGGCAATGGCTTTTCAAAATCATAATGGCAGCTAGTAACAAGAGTTTTGTGTGCAAATAAGTGGGCGGGGGTGGTATAAAAATTTGTTTTACCATGGCGGCCAACCGATCAGAGTCGGAGCTGGCAAATACCACGTCAGCAGGAGATGCTCTCCATATCCCAGCTTTCGAACACTCCACCGCCCTATACACTGAGAAATAGGGATAGGTCTTTGGAGAGGTTCTAAAGAATTTTTCAAGTCACTAATTCTTGCTTAAAGCCCTCCTATTTGGATTCGGGTACAAATATTGGTGAAATTTTCAAGTTTATAAAAAGCATTTTTGTTGAAGCCTATTTTTCTATAGGCATGAAAAGTCGTGGTGAAATTTAAATGTTTTTAAAAAGGATTATTGTTAAGGACTATTTTTTTTATGAACATAAAAAGTCGTCAAATTAAAGCATAAATGTATTATTTATTGGGCACTACAAATTGATTTTATTTTTAATATACAAAATATATTTACCAACTAAAAGGCCTAATTAGTGAAATATAAAAATTCAATGATTATATTTAATCAGAACATTTAATTTATGACGATATAACGTTTTTTAATCTGTAATCTCATTTAGTTTTCAAAATTTAAAATGCAATATATTTTATATTATTTTCTCAGTGTACTTCTCCGGCGTGCACGTCACGCGCGACCACTTAAAAAACCTTGGCCACCCAGCCCCCAACCACCCACCGCTCCTTCGTCCCCCCGCCCCGCAACCAACCCCACCCCCTCGCCAACAGTTCGTTGCATTTTCCCTTAACAGGCCGTTAGTCGTTATTATTTTGGTCCATTGACGCTGCGGGCCATTGCTATATAGTGTGTACACAAGGCGAAGGAGCGAGTGCCTGTGTGTATATAATGGCTCCTGCATATAAAGGAGAGGTCCTTATGTACCACCCCCAGGACATGGACTCAAACCCGAACCGAAACTCGGACCATCCACCCTCAGTGACGTTGATGTCCCGTATTGGAATCGCGTTCGTTTCGTTTTGGTCCTGCTCTAGGTCCTTCTCCTCCTCCACCTCCTCCTCCTTATCGCCATCATCCTCATCACCATCACCATCATCATCATCATCATCGTCAGCAGGAGCAGCAGGATGGAACTTTGGATGGGGGGCACAGGCACACTCTGAACCACCAGGAGGGCAATTTTTATAATTTTAGTCTCGTTTGCTTTGAATTTACTTTTTATTTTCTTCCTTTTTTTATTTTTCCAGCTCTGTTTCTTTTCAAGCTTCCCTTGGCTTGACTCCTCCCCTTCATTCAGGACTTCGTCCTGGCGGGTGGATGCTGTTTTTTAGCCCCCAGCCCCGATTTCTTTGGCTTGTTTCTTTTCTAACATTTCTTGTCAGCCAGCGGAGACAGGACAGACAGAGATGGATAGATCGAGAGTGAGCGAGAGGGCCAGCATGGATTCTACTTATGGCCTTTGTATTGGTTTCGGTTGACGCTTTTCAAACCCCCACCAGCGATTGCAAAATGGCGTTGACTGTATTGATTTTTGATTTATTGCCGATTTGCCTTGTTTATGCCCGGATTGCGGGCTCACTGTACAGGGCCAACAAGGCGGCTAATGCAGGCTAATGATTAGTCATCGCAGAGGCAACTGTACTGGGGATGGATGGTACAGGGCAGAAGAATCTAAAGGATCTAAGATCTTCGATCGGTAATTTTTGAGTGATATTAATAATTTTACAGATATTGCACCAAAGATTGGAAAAAATTCAGTTTGTGATTCTTAGTATTTTCAAAAACCTTTTAAATTGGTTTAAAAAACTCACCATTTTAAACGTTAAAATAAAAAGTGTTTAACCAAAATAAGGTGCAGAAACCAAGACAACCTAGTAATGTTAATTACAAATACTTAAGTGCTTATACTTAACACAATATAAAGACATTTCAAGTAGTTTGCAATGCTATGGTCTTGAAGTTGTCCCATTGGATTTTAATTTCAATCAACTAGGCAAATTATCAGCATTGTTGTCTTTTTATCAATGTATCTATTCTCGTCGAACAGCCAATGGTTGATGTCCTTTTATCGAACATTCTTTCCTGCCCATCGCGTCCATTCCATTTGCAGCTCATATTTCCTCTCGCATTTTCCCCCATCAAGGCAAACATTTATAAAAACTGGGGGGGAGTGGAAAAAATGCCTCATACAAAATACGCAAATACGTTGAGAAATCTTTTTATTTCGCCGGGCATTCGGGCTCATCAGCTTTTAATTTTGTCCTCTTGCCGAGGTCCAGGACCCAGGATTTCTCAGAGTCTCCTCGTTCCGAGTTTAAGACTCAGTCTCGTGGCAACCGGCGCTAATGAGATCCAAGCGAAGAGTCCAGGCAACTTTCCATTACGCTGAGTTTTTCCAGCTTTTTTGCATCGCCTTTTCCCGCTTTTCCTATGCCTTCCTTGTTGTGTTTCGTCCTGAACCTTTGTGCGCGATGGCTGGCCATTTTCCCCCATAGGACAGCAAATGTCCTTTTGGCTTGTTAAGAAAATGTCGCTCTCTAATGCCTGAGACAAGAAAAGCAGGGGTGGAAAATTCTGGGGGGTTTTGGGGGAAGGGGGCCACGACTGACTAGTTGACGTAGTTGCTTTTCCTCCGTCGCGCTCTTAAATTAGAAAAATGTAAATTTATTTTAATTAAGATAAATAAGTAACAAAATGTTTTATGGAAATTACGTTAACAACGCGTAGACAGGAGGGGAGTGATGGGTGGTTGGCCGAGAGGTGGGTGGCACTTTCGACCATTACTGGACAAGGACCTCAAGGGGGGCGGGGACCGCAGGACAACTGCTTTAGCATGCAAATACACATAATCAGCAGGCAGCAGGCAAACAGCTAACAACAAGCTGCAAAAAAAAGAAATACAGAGGTCCTCCCACCTACCCTGAAAATGGAATTATTTTTCCGCCATTTTTTATGGCTTTGTTGAAAAGTTGTGCCGACTGTTTGCTCGTTTGTTTCTCGCATTTTTTCCTCTATTTATTACCATCGATCGATGAGTGATTCCCGTTTATTTGCATTGATTACCCATGTACACACACTTTCGAGCGCCACTGTTATCGACACTCGTCTGCTGTTCGACGTTGAAACTTTTAATTGAGTGCCCCCCACCAGATTTTTAACAATTAATAAAATATTTCTCGTTGTTCTAGTTCAAATTAATCAGAGAATTAACAAAGCAAACCGAAAAAAATGTGTATTTATGGGAAAAGTTTGAAAAGTACTAATGGTATTTACTGGGATTTGTTTATTTAAAAAGTCTCGAGTAGAAATTTAAAGAATTTACATAAAATAAAATTAAAGCTGGTTTAACTATCATCGCCAAAGTAAAGTTCAATGATTTGTTGAGCTGCCTCATAGATCTCAACGCTCTCGTGGGTCTGGAGCTCTTCGATTTTAGCCAATCCCCCACAATCATAAATGGATTTGGCCAGCTCATCTGCATGGGTATGGGCCATCTTGAGCATATTGCTTAGGGCACTTAGCACTGTCTTGGTAGTTTCCTCAAATTGGCCAGTTAGGACATCGCAGAACGGCTTAAGGACACCTTGCCTGATTAAAGTTATCATCTGATCCTCAGTGCAATGCTTAGTAAGATTACATATAGCCGTGGCACCCACGTGTTCCAGCAATCCACCGCCATTCAACATCTCTATGATTTTGGAAATCAAGCCCACATCGATGATGGCCTGCACCCAAACATGGTTACAGGAAGTCACACTGCAGAGGAACCGAAACTCCTCCTCTAAGATGTTATTGTTGGAACAAAAGCCCTCCGGTGGGAAATGGGAAAACGGATCTTGGTTCAAAACCATTTGACACTGCTCATCAGTTCCTTTCAGAATATTTCCCACTACTCGCAGGGCAGGAGATTGTATCTTGATCTCCTTGTGACCCATGAAGGATATCAATTTAGGCAGCACTCCACTTTCTAATACCGTTTGAATGAGTTCCTTTCCATTGTCGGCCAAAAAAGCGATGGCCCACAAAGCGCACTTCAAGATGTCCAAGTCCTCGTGACTGATGAGCACTTCGAGGGCCGGCAGGATCTGCAGTACAGTTTCTGTCGATATCGTTGGATAGCAGTAGGATCTGCACAGATTGCCTATTACCAAGGCCACATTGTAAAGGATCGGAGATGGCACATTCCGCTGAGTAAAAGAGACCAGAGGCTGAACCACGCCCATTCTGATGACAAATTCCCGCAGCAAGGGACCATCGCCTATAATGTTGCCCAAAGCCCAAAGGGCAGGTTCATAAATATCCAGATTTTCTGATTTAAGAAATTCCAGAAAAAATGGCACAGTACCAGCAGCCACCACCTAAAAAGGATTGAAAAATATATACAGGATTATAAAACCGATGAGTTCCAGTTACTTGGATGGTTTGTTCAGAGTTTCCAGAGGTCATGTTGGTCAAGGCCCAGGCAGCCTCAACTTGTAGGTTTACATGGCTGTTTTCCTTGAGGCAGTCCACCAGGATGGGCAGTATGCCATTTTGGATCAGTTCATCAATGGGTGGACTCTCCAAGGAAAGCAGAGTGTTAAGTTCCCTGACGGCGGTCAACTTGAGCTCTGGATAAGTAGCATCGGCAGCTGACTGGATGACCTTCGTCAGGTTCTTATAAGCTGCAACCTGCTTTACTTCATCTTGGTTCATTGAACTATCCGTCTTCATTTTCTGTCTTTAATAACTGAATGGTGGAAATTATGTGTGCTATATATGTGTTTGTTTTGTAATGTGTCGAATTTGACAAGGAAGTCCTATTTTTACTTAAAAAACATGGCTCATTATGTTAATAAGTTTGAAAAATCTTGTCTATCTTATTTAATACAAATCTGAAAAATATTAGTAAGTCATTACTACAAGACCCCAAACTAAGTGTTATGCCATACGTTATGTCATTATGGATATAATTAAGTTTTTGGTTCTTGTAACTTGTCCTCAAGTGCGTTCTAATTTTCTCAGAAATAGCATAACTGCTCGGGAAAACCCAACGAGGTCCACTTGGACACCTCCACCTCCTCCAATGTCCTTTGCTTAGCCTGCAGCATACTTTTCGAGCTTAATGGTTTAAATATTTACTCGTAATTAAAATTCAGCTTTATGCACGTCAAGTGCATAATCACAGACCAAACCAGACCGGGCAAGGCCATTGAGACAATTTTTTCGAGCCCAGAGAGCTGACACTGCCTGCAAAAGTGGATGCCCAGGGATCCAGATGGTTGGGGAGGTTCAGAAGGAGTAGCAGGATCAGAAGGAGCTGGAGATGGAGCAAAAAAGCAACCATAGACGACATTAGCCGTGGGGCGGAGCAAGCATCTGAAGATTATGTCGCCCCCAAAGTAAATGAAACTTATGCACAAATTACACAAGTCAGTTGACTGGCATCTACACAACTGCACTGGAAAAAAAACATACCAATTTGATAAGTTCTACTTACTTAAGATTATAATATTTGAGGTGTTTGTATGTTTTCTTGAGTTGATAAAACGTTATTAATAATTCGATATTCTATGGACAACAAGTATATCATTGTTATAACATTATATTTAACATGAAATAAATTAAAATGAAAAAACGAACTAAAAACTAGTTTATCCAAATGTAAAATATATATACATATGTAAATAAATATATATATAATAAAATAAAGTTATATTAACTACTAAAAAAAATTGAAACCTTTATAACGATTATATCTTTTTTTAAATTTCTTTTTGTTTCTTTTATTTTTACCATACCCAATATTTTACTTATTTCTTAAATGTATCCAAATGCACTTTTCCCGGTGCATTTCCCAGTGAACTCTGCCCCCTCTGCGGCTGACTATCCACTCGAGGCGGCGTCAGCACTGGTCTCTCCGCTCATAATTAAAACCCGAGCTGAACGAAATCGCATAAAATGAATTAAACATTTTAAGGCTATTTAGGGGCGTAGGTAGGTGTAAGCAGGGGGCGTGGTCGTGGATGGCATTACTCCTGGGACAATTGCAGCGTTAAATGAAATATTAATGGCATGGATGTCGGCAAGGAGCGGCTCTCTCTTGGTTCTTTGGCTCTAATAAAGCGATGTTCCAGGACGAAGGAGCCAGGGATTTCGCATAGGGTAGGGGAAGCTTTTAATGATATATTTCTTCTTTTTTTTGCAACTTCTACCGCTGTTGTTTTGCACAAACACACACACACACACACAGAGGGTTTTTCAAGTGCATCATTATTTGTTGCAAATGGAGGCGGTGGAAAAAAAAGGGGCAGGGCGAATTGCGGAGGCTGTGCAAATTCAATGCGCTGCATTTTTAATCCCAACGCAAGGTTTTTCTCCTCTTTTCAATGCCTCAACTCAAGTGCATGCCACACCCCCTTTTCTTTCCGTCGCCCTGCACTTCATATGCAAACATTTATGATGACGTTGAAAAGGGGGCGTTGGGCGTTGGGCGGTGGGCGTCGAAGGGGGCGGGGCCGCTGTGGTTCGCACAAAGGTAGCCCGCAGCCCACCCAGCTTTTGTTTCCACCACGGAGGCATGTGTGTTTGCGTCGAGTGCAGGCCGCATAATGGGATGTCTGATGAAGCTCTTAGTCGGCATAATTACTTTTTTTTTAGCCAGCAAAGCAAATGATACTCTATGGGGCTTCCACGACGCCCCAAACCCCACAAGTGCCCCTCAAACGATGGGACAATCAATCGGAGGCGGTTCCGAATTAAAGGACTAGGTCAAAAGTGCCGCCTCAAAGTGGCACTCAAAGGGACCAAAGGTAGATCATTTCAGTGCCACACTGAAGTAGTAATGAACAGGTTTGGAAATTGCTATTTTACGCGAAGGCCAAAGGCGGATTTTCTAAATTTAATATAGGAATTATAGAACATAAAGTTTTTTATGCTCAAAAAATTAGTTTAAGAATTTTAACTTCATAAATCTGCGACTTGCAATACATTTATACCCCTGTACATGATTGTACAAAATCAGTTTTTTAAAAAAATAAATTTACAAATGAATTTATAGTTTTTATTAAAATACTAAAATACATTCAGAAGCTAGCTAAGAGACTTTAGTAAAGGCAGTCATTTAAACCATGATCCAGACTGAATAAAATATTTATATGAATTTAGTGAATTTGGAAATGAGATACATTTATTTGAATTAATAAAAATCTTTATATATTGTAGCCCACGACTTTGTTTACTCACTGAAACTGGTACCTTCAAAGCAGCCTCAAGATAGAATAAACAGGCTTTTGTCATGCTTTTGTCACTAATGAGGAAGTCTAAGCAATCGATTTGTGAAGAAAGAGCGAGATATCAGCAGGAGGTGCCCGACCACTTGAGTGCCAATTAAAAATGTGTAAATAATTTCTACGACAATTACGGGCCAGACAAAGGACCTCATTCGAATATGAGTTTCGAGGGGAACACACATTCGCTGGCAAGGCGAACCTGTAGCCCAGGACCACCGAAGGAAGCGAATTTATGGCAACTGCATTAGCATAGAATCCTTGGCAGGGTTAAGGACTGTCGAGTGGAGAGCCAAGAAAAGGACCGCTGGCAAATCATAAGCATAAATCGTGGGAAACGACGGCGGCGGCAATATTCAAATGAGATGGAATGTCACTTCACAGGACACAATCCCAGCCGAAGGATAATGCGGCATTAGGAGGTAAGGCAACAGTTTTGTCAACGCGGTTCGGTGAAAGGGTGAAATCAACGAAATACAAAAAAAAAGGTGAAAGATGAATGCCGCGTAATGAATGGAGATCGGTTGGTGACTGGCGTTCGCCGATTGTGTTCTCACAATGTGGCGATCATCTCTGTTCCATATTTTCTATTTTCCGTGTTTGGGATTCCCATTCCGATTGCGATTGTGTCAAGGGTCCAGAGGATGCTGCTCTACTTCCCCTACTTCCAGCGATTTTAATTGAATTCCTACCTGAATTCACCCGAAACTTGTCCAGCTGCATCCCAAAAAGGGGTTTAATTTATTCTCTATCCCGGGATATTCATATGCGAAATGGCTCAAATATTTTCATAAAAAATACCACAATAATTCGACAAGGTAACCGGTCGAACCGGTTTCATATCATTTACTGTTATCCTTTTCTGTGCAGCCAACCCATATAAAGCTAGAAGCTTAAAGGCAAGGATCACGGATTAAAGGAAAGAAATATCGAATCAGACCGAAGACCGATCATGTTCCGTCTTTCCGTATTTCCAACGTCTTCCAGAATCGGAACACAAGGCTGCTTTTTAGATTCCATATCTTTAATCTTTATAGAATTGTGATTGCATAAAGCAATGTTCTACATTAAAATTTGTCTGTAATACAAGGATAAAAATTGTAACCCATTTTCAAGTTTGCTTTTTGCGTAATTCCAATGACTTTCAGAATTGTGACCCAAAAGTGCACTTCCAGATTTCATAACTTTTGTTATGGGAGTCCGATCTTGAAGTGTGATACCTCTATGAGTTTTTGGTGGAATTCTCTTTTGATCTACATTTATTGTTTTCTTTTTGACGAGGGTCCAAATTTTAACCCATTTTCATGTTTGATTTTTTCGTAATTCCAGTGGCTGTCAGAATGGTAACCCAAAAGTGCACTTCCAGATTTCATAACTTTTGTTATGGGAGTCCGATCTTGAAGTGTGATACCTCTTTGAGTTTGTGGTGGAATTCTCTAGTGATCTACATTTAAATAATTCTTTTTGACGAGTGTCCAAGTTTTAACCCATTTTCATGTTAGATTTCCGTAATTCCAATGACTTTCAGAATGGTGACCCAAAAGTGCACTTCCAGATTTCATAACTTTTGTTATGGGAGTCCGATCTTGAAGTGTGATACCTCTATGAGCTTGTGGTGGAATTCTCTAGTGATCTACATTTAAAGAATTCTTTTTGACGAGGGTCCAAATTTTAACCCATTTTCATGTTCGATTTTTCCGTAATTCCAATGGCTTTCAGAATGGTGACCCAAAAGTGCACTTTCAGATTTCATAACTTTTGTTATGGGAGTCCGATCTTGAAGTGTGATACCTCTTTGAGTTTGTGGTGGAATTCTCTAGTGATCTACATTTAAATAATTCTTTTTGACGAGTGTCCAAGTTTTAACCCATTTTCATGTTAGATTTCCGTAATTCCAATGACTTTCAGAATGGTGACCCAAAAGTGCACTTCCAGATTTCATAACTTTTGTTATGGGAGTCCGATCTTGAAGTGTGATACCTCTATGAGCTTGTGGTGGAATTCTCTAATGATCTACATTTAAAGATTTCTTTTTGACGAAAGTCCAAATTTTAACCCATTTTCATGTTCGATTTTTCCGTAATTCCAATCGCTTTCAGAATGGGGACCCAAAAGTGCACTTTCAGATTTCATAACTTTTGTTATGGGAGTCCGATCTTGAAGTGTGATACCTCTATGAGTTTGTGGTGGAATTCTCTAACGATCTACATTTAAAGATTTCTTTTTGACGAGGGTCCAAATTTTAACCCATTTTCATGTTAGATTTCCGTAATTCCAATGACTTTCAGAATGGTGATCCAAAAGTGCACTTCCAGATTTCATAACTTTTGTTATGGGAGTCCGATCTTGAAGTGTGATACCTCTATGAGCTTGTGGTGGAATTCTCTAATGATCTACATTTAAAGTTTTCTTTTTGACGAGGGTCCAAATTTTAACCCATTTTCATGTTCGATTTTTCCGTAATTCCAATCGCTTTCAGAATGGGGACCCAAAAGTGCACTTTCAGATTTCATAACTTTTGTTATGGGAGTCCGATC